AGCAGGAGTAAAGGTGGGTCACAGATGACCAGGTACCCCCATGAGTACACTGTCATCCTCTGAGTGGAGGATGCTTGCTGCCACCACCTGAAACACATTCCTCACGAGCCACCAAGGTGGAGAAAGGGAAAAGGGGCATAAAAATTGTGTTCTAGTGCATCTGCCTGCCTGCCCTGTTTTCTGCTTCACTGGTATTTGACCACAGCAGTGTAAGCCGAAGGGAGGAGGTTTTAAAGCAGGTGTCTGGCATTTTACCATAAAAACTCTGCCACCATTTTTTCAGTGAAGAAGAAAGTCACTCATGCCCTCGTAGATGCGCAGGCAAGTCCTTCTCTGCCCTACACGTCTCTGAAGAGCAAGTCTGGGGAGCACCGGTGGGACCACAGAGATTTCTGTCACCCTTATTTATGTCTGACAGCACAGGCTCCACCTGGCCAAGGCAAGTAATGCCACGCAGGACACTGAGCCTCCCCAGTGTCCCACTCTTACCCAGCCTGAGCTCCTACCCATTAAAAGCAGTCCCCATATTTATGCAGCGGAACACCATTTAACCCTCCTAAATGCGATCATCTATCTTCCCCTATCTTTGAAATGGAAGATGAGTATTAAACGGCACAAAAAGGGTATTCCCCTTTGTGGGGCCTATGCAGTTCAGAGCACCAACAAGTTGTATTTAACACACGGGATATAAATCTTCAAGAACACCTTTTTGAGTCCTCTCAAATTAAGCTCCTTTGTATATCCTGGTTGCATCTTGTTTGCAGTTTCCATCTGGGAAACAGCCGCACTCCATCATAGCACAGGGAGCTGTCTCCATCAGCCCTGCGCCGACCAGAGCAGAGCTGCATATCAAAACCCAACATAATTATCCATCTCACAGTTTATTATTTACACATGAGCAATACAGCTGGTGAACATCATAACTCAAATGTATGTGTAATAAGTTACTACACTGTAGCCATCTCCTGTTGCAACCCTTAAGAAAAACCACATGATGACTTTTCCAAAGTCAGGCTAAAACTGCTGAAGCAGAATAAAGTGCCACTAAACCTGGCTACCTACTATTTATCATATAATTTCCTGACTGATGGTTCCACAAACCAGCTGCTAAGTGCTGTGTACTCTACTGTCAGCAGACTAACATGCTAAATGGGAGACAGGGAGAATAATGTGCAGAACTAGCGGAGTCGATTTTACGGAGGGAATTCAAATTCTGCCTTGTTTGGGTCAGCCCTCAGCATAGAGGTAGGCATTAAATTCTACATGCTTGGGGATCCAAACCCACTCCACTTTGAAGAGCATTGAGTTTTTATATGGAAAGACTCTTAGATCAAGCAGAGACCTGCCAAAGCACCCATCGTCCAGGGCTTCACTTGGAATTCACTTGAAACTCCATAAAAATGTAATCAGTTGACATGTATTTATATGGAAATACGTAGTAAGAAGTTTGCAAAGCAGTAACTCGGGCTCTAGCCAGTTTCACATTGCTTTTTTGATATCCCACACAGTAACTATTTCATTAAAGGCACCATCAGAATAGTACAGGCACATTCTGCCACTATTATTTATGCTGTAGCTGAGTAAAGAACGAGTGAGACTGCTCACAGGCTAGAATTGAGCCTGGACCTACCTGACTCATGGCTATTTGTTAGAGATATTCTACCTATCTAGAAAACCAGGGGATAACTTATTGCAAAAGACAGGATACCTGCTCTGACTGTAATGACATTCTTAACCTTAGCAAAGAGGAGCTCCTCTCACCAAAACAAATCAACAAAATCTAACTTCCTATTCTGCTAGGGAAAATATTTATTACCATTTGCTACTTAAAAATTCTGGCTGAGATACAAACTCTTAAAGCATATGCCAGGCAGTTTTCTTATAGACATCCAAAGGCAACCATGAATTCCTGGACCGATCCTTCAATTACATCCTTGCGGAGACTCCCTGACATAAGTGTACAGTACAGGTGTCAAGACAGACAGATGCTGCCTGTGTATTTGGAGCCCTCGGCTCCAATTCAGCAGAAGTATCTGATTCTGTGCTTAAATTTCGCTATTTTCAAGAACTTGTAAGGACATGCCAAGGCACTGGAAATACACTTACACACATTCCTCACGCATTGCTGAATTTGGTAGCTGTTGCCTTTTCCTCACTTCTCTGCTGCCTACTACTCTAAGCTTCCTTCCGATGCCCTTCTGTCTCCTGCATAGCTAACAGTATCTCCTCAAAACAAAATGGGAGATACAACTGCCTGAAATGCTACAAACTCCTCCATTTTAGCACTGCGAGATTTTCTGGAAAGTATGTCAATTTATGCTGACTTTTTGTTGTGTAAAACGTGCCTTTTTATTTCTTCGTCAAGAATCTTTCTTGCCTTCTTAAAGAAAGTGAATAGGATCATCTCTCTCAAATTACAATCACTCCCATACAGGAAAAAAGAAGAGACCTACACTTGTTCTCTGAAAGTCGGCAACCTAGGGCTCCGCTGGAGCATCAAGGCAAAGAAACTGGGAGAAATGACAGATATGGTCCTTGCTGCTGAACACCAAACCTGAAATGAAGTCTGATGAGACATTGCAGGCAGCAACAATTCACTGCAAGTCTTGGTGGAAAGGCAGATGATGCCTGTTGGCTCAAAGGTGCCATGCAACACCTTGAGACAACGGCAAAGAGGTTACGCTGCTCTGAAGCTCACTGAAGTGAAGGATAACTTTTCTGTAGATTCTGTAGTCTCTCAAATAAGCCTTACTCAGTTTGGGGATCACTATGCTTGGAAAGTTGGGCTGTGGTGGTAAGGCTAGTAAAACACTCTGCCCTCAGCTAACCGACTGACTCAAGCACCTTGTGATTCCTGCCAAACCCTTGAGGAAGACGGCTGCTGAAATGACAGGCTGCATTTTTCAGCGTGTCAGGAAAACATTTGCTACTGCAGAAAATGCCTGCATCGGCTTGAACGCGCCCAGTGTGGCCCCGATGCCTGCACCCGTGTCGTGAGATCGTGTCGTGAGCCAAGCAAACACAGGACTCAAGGCCAACATAGGAAACCCTCGTGATGTTTTAGTAGATTTGTCCGCAGGACGATTAACTCACCAAATTCAATGGCAGAACTGAGCCATTTACAAAACTCCGTCTCAGATATAACCTCATCTGAGGTGAAATCTCCTTCCCGCTTAAATTCATTATGGT